ACTACACACAAGAAACTATTACTTAAAAATCGCAAAAATTGTCCCTGGCCTCACCTCCAACGTTTGGCACCAACAAAAATGGCGCCCTATAATTTTACATCACAGATTTTGCTCCAGCCTGAATCTACGCGTTACACATCCTTGTATTCTTTAGTCATTGTACTTTCTTGGTACTATCTAGATAGGCAATATTCATAGAGTACTATTTCACTTTCTATGGCCTACAAGGAACTATTGTCTTTTAATTATTTATTTATTGTCTGTCTTTTGCTTGTCGCGGAACTGCTAATAGTATGTCTTTCATCTGTAAATATGGACTAATTTTGACCTAAAAAATTGACTAAAATCGCAGTTAATTTTCGCATACATTAATAATTTCTAGATAAAATACATGACTAGGTACAAGCGAAGGATGAAAGACTATCGAGAGAAAACAATATGGAAAAATATCTAAAAGTTTTGAGCAGTTTTTATAATATAATTTTTTATTCTAGGTGTATTTTTAGATATCGTATCTTTTACCATTCTGTTTGTTTTGATAATATTATATCAAAATAAAGTTTCTTCGTCTAAATTTTCTACCCGTATTAAGCTTGATTTGCATGCGTCCGTTATCCGTTGATACGATGGTCCGACGGAGCTCGGAGTGGTCATAGCGTTTTCGCGCCACTTTTCATCCGTAATTTTTTTACCCTAGCCCGTCAACGGAGAAAGATCGTACAATAACGGACGTTTTGATACATTTTTGACAAATCTAGTCTATCCTTAATAAAAATATAATAGAACAAGAGTCCGGTATTTGCTTCTTATGGGAGTCGCCAACAAAAAGCCGCCCAAGGGAATGCACTTTGCTGTTTCTATATTTTAAGAACCCAAAATAGATCTTATTTGACCTGAGTGGAAGCATAAGTTTTGTGGCCGTGTCACTTGTTGATTTCTGCTCTGGTATAGGATACATATACAGGGTGGTTCGAACTGTATTCCGGAAACTTCGGTAGCATATTCTACAGATAAAAATAAGTAAAAAACTTCGTATAAATGTATGTTCTAAAATGCTTAGTTTCGGAGTTACAGGATGTAGAAGTTTCAAATTTATTTCGATTTTTTCTAAATAATTTCTGAAGTACCTAACGTCAGTATGTAGATCAAATGATATCTGGGAGTTTTTTGACATGAAAAAATTGATTTTGATGTCAATATGACTCCTATTTGTAGGGGGCGCCACCTACACGTGTTTTAACTATTTTGAAGAGTAACAACTTTTCGTCTGTACCTGTATAAAACTACTGAGTGAAAAAATATACATTTCCGTGATTTTTTACGTAAAAAATGTATCTTGGTAAAAATCTCTACGAGCAACCGTTCTCAAGATATTTAGAATGGAAATAGTCAATACATGTCATTATTGACAAAAGATAAACATGTTGAGTAGATAGTTATTTGACTGAAATGATTAATTTGGGATTTTTTTTTAATTAATCATAAATTTTTCTTCGAAAAAATGACGAAAAAACAGTTTTTGTTGAACTTTTGGCACAAAAATATTTCAAATTTATGATTTCAGTCTAACAACTATTTAGTCAACATGTTTAATTTATGCCAATGATGAGAGGTAATGCGGTTAAAACACGTGTAGGTGGCGCCCTCTACAAGTAGGAGTCAAATTGACAAAAAATCAAATTTTTCATGTCAAAAAACTCCCAGCCACCAATTTTCATCTAAATATTGACGTGACTTCAAAAATTATTTGAAAAAAATCGAAATAAAAATGAAACTTCTACACCCTGTATCTCCGAAACTAAGCATTTTAGGACATACATTTACACGAACTTTTTTACTTATTTTTATCTGCAGAATATACTGCCAAAGTTTCCGGAATACAGTTCGGACCACCCTGTATTTTGAGGGCCCATAAGATATGATATAAAAGTGAAACCATTAAATACAATGTTCTAAATGTGTCTAAAAACGAGGTTTACAGTTAGCTTTGTTTCGTAGAATTTATAACTTAAAAAAAAAAGTACTTGGCATTAAAAAGAAAACAATTTTTTGGATATTTCTAGGAAAAAAATTCAAAAGCGTTAGGCGTATGAGGCCTTAGAAATTAGAGGGCATTCGGAATTACCGAGGACACTCTGATATTTGAATATGCTTATACAGAAAATTAAAAGGCATTAGGCATTAGGAAGATTAACAATAGGGCTATTAGGAAATGGGACACTAAGCATTGAAAAATAAGGACAATAGAGAGGGCATTAGGTATTAAAGCGCGCATTAGGCACTAAGGAAGGCATTAGGAATTAAGGAGTGCATTCGGCATTAGGGAGGTCTAAATCGAGGATTAATCTGTGATTCCAGGGTATCGTGGGGGCCTAGGCGTGAGGAAACATGTCCGTCGTCTCTTACTCGTTCTCTGAGGAGGAGCGCAGTCTAATCCGTCCATTCACTCGCGAGTCATTGGCCGCCATCGAAGCTCGAATTGCCGAAGAACATGCCAAGCAAAACCGTCGCGTCGGGTAAACGAGAATTTTAAGATAGCTGGTTTTGTAATATATCTTTTGCTATGTTATCCTGACCAAAGTGCGGGCCGTCTAGCTGTCGGTAGACTACTGCGGTTCACTACTGCGCATCACATCTGTACAGTGTATCTCATTTTCGTGTGTTTTATGGGATTTCTCGTTTATGAGTCGAGATACAATGATGCAATTTTCACATTACTACTTTTTTATGAATGCTACAGATAGGTTTGTCCTAGCCTCCTTAGTTCCTAAAATACAAGGCGAATTTGTGATGCGTATTTGCGCAGTACTGAACAGATGTTGAATGCAGATATGATGCGTAGTAGTAGACTCAACGTCTACCGGCAGCCAGACGGTCCGCACTCTGTTCAGGAGAGCATAGCAAAAGATATATTAAAAAAAACAGCTTTCTTAAAATTCTCTCCCGAAAACGTTGCTAGCTCTTAGACTATAAGTAAAACAACTAAATCGTTATGGAAGTGAAAGTATAAAATGACATCCATCACAAGCAAATCGTATATCCGATGAACGGAGGCATGAAAATGGAATACATTTAAAAACTGGGAAATATTCTAACCAATGGAAGTCTTTAAATTCAACCAATAAAGTTAATATCGTATCATCGTATCGTCGGATAACGGATGCATGAAAATCTAGCTTTGCTCTGTCTTCTCTAAGATAATTGAATGATAAAAGTTTTTTTTTTCTTTTTATTCTAGTTGATTCACTACACTTCTTTAATTTTATATCACCAGTCGAGTGTTAACCTTAAAGTCCTCCACAAAATAAACAAAATGTTTTATTCTATTGGTTTAGTTCATTATTCTTCATCATTATTGTAATATATTAAATTCAGAGAAATAAGGTAAACCTGGAGTAGTTATAAAACATTTCTTCATACAAAAACCATCATCATAATTAAGAGAAAGCAAAATTAACCAAAGACTTTAAGGATCACACTCCATATACAGAGTGATCGAATCAAAATGACATTACAATAGACATTTAAAGAACAATTTGAACTATTCTGGGTTTATCACTAAAATTGGTCAACAGTGACAAATAATTGTTAAATTATTTATAAACTACATATAAATTGTAGTTCTAAAGCTTAAAATATACTTCATATAACTCACAATATTGATGTCACTGTCAAAAATTTCAATAACAAACTACGGACTAAAATATTATTTGTACACCTATTGTGACGTCATTTTTATTCGGTCACTCGCTATCTAAATCATCGCGATAATTTTTCTCTATATTGAGAAATATAAAGTATTATATAAAATTGCGCCTGAGTTCAAAAAAATATATATTAATATTATCATTCTTAACAAAAACAAAATCAACTATCACTTCCTTAACCCGAGGACAGATCTGATGAATGTTACCATTCGTTTATATTCATTCGCATTCGTTCGTATTCGAGAAGAAATCTTGTATAGGGTGGGCCAATTATGTACAAGGCAAATGTACAGGGTTGGTCAAATTGGACGCTTTTAAAGGGAACCGCCCTTTTCTACAGGAGACAGCCGAAAACTAATATAGGTGTCTGGAGCTCAATTTTTATCAAAAACAAGATGGTGAAAACCGCACATCGATATCTGTTACCGTTTCGGAGTTACGGAGTGTTTTTCAAAAATGTACATTACTAACAAATCGCTGTAACTTTTTTGCTATGTAAAATTTTCTATTTTTATTAAAACATTTCCAAAGCACCCTTTTACGTAGAATTTAATGGTTTAAGTATAATTTTTTTAAAATTAATAATTTAAGAATTATCAACAGAAAATTTGATTTTTTATATGGGGCACCCTGTATATTTCTAATTCATTGAAAATAATTTAAAATTACCTTTCCAAAAATATAGCACACTTGATATTGCTCGATTCCTCCTCCAGATATATAGAGTTTATAAAAATTCGCCCACTTTGAATAAGTAGGCTATGAACGGCGCCGGCTGTAATGCAAAAAATTCTAGCTGTGAGCAGCAATTAAAACGAAAATAATATTTGCAATGAGAGATGCAGAATTTTATAACAATTTAAACTATATTTAACAACATCAACACATTTAAACTATATCCAAAACAATAAAAATTAATAGCAAACAAGTGTTCAACATATCAGCCGTCTTCTATTTTGAACAGATGGGACCGTTTTTGAATATTTCTCGCGGAATTTATTAACTCAGTGAAGTTGAAAGATACCCTCGCAAAACAGCTAAGTAGTTCTTATTCTTGTCTAGAAATTATACGGGCAATTTAAAAATAAGAACCCTTATTCTTCCGCAAAGATAATAATCCAGAGGCACTAAGTCCGGCGGCATCGACGGCCAATGGCTGGGATCTTGATTAGCTATTCAATTATTCTCGACATTAGTCGCAAAAATTTGCTGATAACTTCAGCGTTCTGTTCATATCGATGTGCAGTTTTCACTATCATGTTTTTGATAAAAATTGAGCTCCAGAGACTAATATTATTGGTCTATCTCCTCTAGAAAAGGGTGTGAATGAATGCTTTTCCTCTTCTTGCGATAAAAGTGAATAGATCAAAGAAAAATGCGATCCTCGAATGACTGGAGACGTTACAGTGTGGACGTGTTCGCTGCAAATGCACGTCAGCACCTGAAAAACATTTCCTCGCGAATGCTAACGAATGCAAGTGAATAGTAACGTTCATGAAGTCTGTCCTCGGCATTAATATTAAATATACCTAAAGATACAGCAGATGCATAATAAACACAGTTTTTTCCGATAAAAAAAGCAGTAACAAAACCAATTGGGTAGTGTAGTACTCATCTTGCTGTTGTTTTAACTGTATCTTTTCTGAATTTAATCTAAGATCACTTCGAAGCACCGCTATGTGTTTCGAACCCCGAACCACCCTCTTCTGTGCCAAATTTTCCCTCCCCTCCGCCACTAGCTGCTCCCTTTAACGATAAATCCTTCGCCTCGTCGTTATCGGACGTTTCGAGACCAACGTGTCCCTCATCGTCAGCGCCCATTTCCTTTTTGATAGCGGAAAAGTCCATGCCCTTGTGCATGCGCTCGGTGTGTCTGAGCATGTGCATCTTTTGCTTGGCCCTGTAGCTACAGAAGGGACACTTGAATTGGGGCTCCTTGCCGCACTCCCACTTCTGGTGGTTCCTCAGGGAGCTTTTTAGTTTGTAGATGCGTCCGCAATCGGGGCAGACGTGACTGCCGTTGCTATCGACAGGAATTTTAAATGCTGAAACAAAAAAAGGGTTGATTTTTGTAATAATTTTTTTGAAGAGTCTACGAACTATTTTTTCACAGTATAAAGTGAAAAAAATAGTATATACATATACACAGGAATTCTTACCTTTAGGTTTTGGCAATTTGGATAAATCAAAATATGGACTTTGTGGCGCTTGCACCGCACTGATACTTTGAAATATCGATTGCTGTAAATTTTCCCTCATCAGCATCATAGGCAAAGTTATATTTGGCGGCCACTGGCTAAACGTTTTAGGTAATCTGAGATCTTGAGCTAAAAAAAGAAACGGTCAGTATAAGGAAGTACTGGAAGGTGCTAGCCCTGGACTAATTCAGAAAAGATAAATGGATTTTATGGAGGTACTGATAAGAGATAATTAAATAAATATAGGGCAATATTGTAATGAATATGAATTAAAAATAATATTTTTATCATACCATAGCATACCTTTTACCCAGTAGCACCAGATTTCAGCGGAAAAGAAGAATCTCAAAGTTTGGTTCTCATACAGGGTGTTGAAGAAAATTGACCACACATAAAAAATAGTTTATTTCATGTTTCTGAGAATGTTTGTATTTGATAGAACCCTCTGTATCTCAGAAAACCGCTAATAAAGAATTCAAAATTACAGTGTGATATATACAATAAAAATACAACATTAAATGAGCCTAAAAGTAAAAAGCCTAATTTTTCAAATTATGTACTACTAAACTTGGTTCTCGTTTATTTTTTAATTATAGTACATTAACCCTATAACTTTTTTATTTTTTCAGATAAAAAAACGAGACTTGATATGTTAGTATATGACATAAATTAGGATTGATTGACATATTCAATTGTTTTCGGTCACTTCCTGTTTCACTATAACTTTTGATTTTTAAATGGCACCCTCGGTATTTTTTTACTTTATTCCCTAAAAATATATATCCGAAACTATCCAAACTTGACATATGATATGCCATTCTATTCAGAGTGTTATTTTCTATCGAATAAAGTAATAAACTTTAAAAAATAAAGTAAAAAAATACCGAGGGTGCCATTTAAAAATCAAAACTTGCAGTCGTTTCCGGTGAAACAGGAAGTGACTGAAAACAATTGAATACATCAATCAATATTAATTTATGTCATATACTAACATACCAAATCTCGATTTTTATCTGAAAAAATAAAAAAGTTTTAGGGATGAGCCACTTTTGAGACGCACCCGGTATAAATAAAGAACTACAGGGAGAGTCTAAAATAAGTGCAAATATTATCAGGGCTGGCAGATCTCGATAAAAGGAGTATAAATTTTGAGAAAAACTGGATCTTTTCTGGTTTTTCTTTCTTGTAAATTTAATCTACTACCTATGTTGCCATATTATTCCAATATTATGTCTTTTGACCAAAAATTTAAAAAAAATCCCAATTTTTTAAAAAAAATTCCAAATTTTCAGTTTTTTTTTCGCGAAAAAACCTCATAGTCGTGTTTCTGAGGATTTACTACTGTTTTTAGGTCACAACCTAAAAATATTTGCATAAATACTACCCCTAAAAATATTTGCACTTATTTTATTGTCACCCTGTATAAGTAAATTTTTCAGGTATTTAAGAAAAAATTAAAAATTACCCCTTAAAGAATTTTTTTTTTATTTTTGAAGATTCGTAATATACAAAATACCATAAAGTTTCTCCCACGGGAAAACGAACAATTTCGACAGGCAACTTGACAGAAAATACCATTTACTTTTGAATTAAAATGACACATCAAAGTCATTGTCATGTGTTCCCTCCTTGAAGACACTACGAGTATACTAACTTATGTTTTAATTAGTTTATTTTTAGTTATCCAAGATTAACTAAGAGACTTTAAAAAATGTCTATACCTCCAAAAAAAATCCTATATGGTTTTTTTTGTAAGAGACTTTACTTTTTCAAGACATCTAAATTTCTCAGAAACTTAAAATATATTTTTCTATATGTGGTAATTTCTTACACACACTATATACCTGTTTAAAAATGCTGATAGTTAAAATAGTAAGCACATACAAAAGACAAAAGTGAGTGTCATACGTCCAAAATGATATATTTTCAGATGAATTCGGCTTAGCAGATCATTCCATAGGAAAAAATGTACAAAATTGATTAAAAGATCTTTGCAAAAAGAACAATTTTATTAGTGTTTTTATTTTGGCAGTATAAAATATACAATCGTTTTAAAATAAAGGGCAATATGGCAAGCATAAATACACAAAAAAATACTCATGACTAAGGTTATAGCGTTGGTTCAAAAAATTAGAAAGATAGGCAACCTAATGGGCAAATTCGTGAAAAGGCTGATTTGATTTCCCCATACGTCTCAAGTGCTGTAGGGTGGAGCCTCTACTCGTTCTGCGACCAACGTATAAAACACTCATTTTCTCTAATTCGGCTAGCCAAGACATATCGAAGACGGTGTGGAACTGAAAGCGACAGTGTTGCCATAGTAAAATGTGTAATATCTGTAATAAATTTCACATTATCTTTGGAACAAAAATCCGCGTTTATGTATTGAAAATTTATTCGTGTTAAACATAGAATAAACAATAAAAATAAAAATTCTTTTTATATGTATAATCCAGTAAAATTGTATCGCCGTATAGAGAGTGAAAAAAAATTACGGGCAAGCTGATTTTTTCAGAGTATGTCAGCGACTGTCTTCTGAGTGTAAAATTAACAAAATCGGAAATTTTCCCCTTGCGGTTTTTGAGCAATAGGGGTGTTTTTTTTAAACTGTACTAAAACAAAATAATTAGACGCAAATTGTACATAAGAACATTCTCTATTAAGTTCGCCTTAATGAATTTTTCTTATAAGTTTATTATTTCCGGACTTAGCGGCCGTTTCATGACGTGTTTGTTTTACAGCAAATTAACCCGTATGAAAGTTGTTCACAATAAATGGACAAGCAACTTTTCCTCATGATTTTTTTTGTAGCTTGATTATTATTTTTGGAGATAGCGTCCAGTTCATGAACAAATTATAGGGTAGTGTTCAATGTTACACCTTTTTCAGCAAATTCACCCTAGGAAACTAGTTCAAAATAATGTTTGCATGTAATTTTAATACGAACACCTTTAAGTTGGTAAATTTGTAAAACTAAACAAAAATTATGAAATTACCCCAATTTGTTCATGAACTGGACGCTATCTCCAAAAATAATCAAGCTACAAAAAAAAATCATGAGGAATAGTTGCTTGTCCATTTATTATGAACAACTTTCATACGGGGCAATTTGCTGTAAAACAAACTTTTTGAAAACCACCCCAAAGGGCTCATAAAACGGCCGCTAAGTTCGGAAATAATAAACTTATAAAAAAAAATAATTAGGCGAACTTATAGAGAATGTTCTTATGTACAATTTACGTTTAATTATTTTGTTGTAGTACAGTTTTAAAAAACCACCCCTATTGCTCAAAAACCGCAATGGGTAAATTTCCGATTTTGCTTATTTTACACTCAGAAGACAGTCGCTGACAAACTCTGAAAAAATCAGCTTGCCCGTAATTTTTTTTTTCAAATGCCAATTTTATTGGATTAGTACTGAATATTTCGTATGATCGAAAAAAGTCGTTTAGTTGGCTTGGAAATGAAAACTATTGACATTTACCATAATATTTTATATATGGAATAATGGCGATCTTCATTTCCAAGCCAACTCTGACACCGTTCTTTGTTTAATCATATAATATTATATTAAATTGCTTAATGATAAAAAAAAATTCGTATTATTAATGTACTGTACACAAAATACGTAAATCTACGGATTAATCCGTAGTTCTGGCAACACTGTCCTCGACAACCACCGACTCTGTCGACTGAAAGCTGAACTACAGGCGGGTCCTCACTTGTCAGTTTTGCTGACGCAGTTCAACTGATTCAGTGATACTGAACAAATAATGAACGTCAGAACACATTTTCATGTTAAATGATCAGTACATTCGTACTTTCAGTTAAAGTGAAAACCAGTTCTACTTTTTTTCATTTTTGACTGATCATTATCGAATAATGAATAGAAACTGAAGCGTGAGAACTACACATTTTCGTGATTTTTGTCTTCGCTCATTTTTAAGTGGTTTCGATATGAATCACAATCTTCCAAAGCCAATTCTTTTAATATAGTTTCACTAGCACCCCGTTTATTTCTTGGCAATATCCAGGACCTGATCCACCACCTACGACGTTCTCTTCTTTTCTGATTTACCATCAGAATATTCTGTAATTCATTTGCTAATTGTAAACAAACTTCGCAAACACCTGGTTTCAATTTTGTTTTAACCATTTTCATGTCTACGAAATCACCATGTTAAAATGTTTGGACCAACTAAATACTGAATGTAGCAAAACATGAAACGTGTGAATACAATCGTTGTTTTTTATTTTTCATTGATAATGAATCAGTCAGACTGCGTCAGCGAAACTGACAAGTGAGAACCCGCCTTACGGTACAGTATTCTTTATCCGCTGCGCTGTAAACGAGTATCATAGCGCGCAGCGGCGCAAAGCTAAACTAAATCTCGGACATCTCGAACAGGTTTTGTGCCAAGAAATTGACCATAAGGTTGCGCATCTTCTTATTTCTTCAATCAACGGTTATAGTATATCAAATGATGAAAAGATAATAAAGAAACGATGTCACAGTAGGCGTAGAAATAATTTCAGTACGAGGTTTATTTAACTACGTAGCTATGTCGATCGCTGTTGTTACTGAAAATGGCAGTGTAAGCTGATTGTAAAATAAGTCAGATTCTTTTAAAGGTTAAAATAATAAAACAAAATATATAAAAAGATTTTTGGAAACTACGTATTCTTTCTAATAAACCTCATAACAAATGAGGATAAGTGTTATTGTTACTGCTAAGATATTCACTGATATATACATTATGACAGACTACTGTGACGGCAATCTTTTGATCATATTTGTGACAAAAAAAATAGTGAAAAATCTCGTTGTTGTGATGTATAAAAAAATTAAATGGATCATCCGATCAATAATTATTAAACTTCTTATCTTAACTATGCTCGTATATGTATATTTCTCGAAAATACGCTTTGGTTTATGTACTTAACCTAACTTTTGTTAACAACATTTAGTCTTAAAGAAAGTAAATACATTAGTTATAGGCTTGGTACATTTCTACCGATTTTTTTAATGGTATAATTTTTCAATTAACAAGTGCTTACTTTTTTTTATGAACATCTAATAGTTATTAATGATACAAGTTCGATACGAACATCATAATGAAACGAGTGTAACGTTTCATTAAAAAGTTCGTATGGAACGTGTATCATTTACTATTAAAAATTTAATCTTCGACGCGACACGAGGGACGATCCAAAGAGATTTGATTTAATTTAAAATATCAGAGATATCCTCATAAAAATTAAAATTCAAAATTATCAGGTGCCCATATTAGTCGACGCCGTGGTAACCGTGCTTGTTGATTATTACCATTTTGACTTTGATAACTCAATTATTGATGAGCAAAAAGCAAAAAATAATATTAATATGGGTGATTCTGTTTCTGAAAGTGTCCTTTCGGATATTGAAGGCATTGCGCAAAACGTTGTCGATTCCCTACTTCCCGAAAAATCAAGACAAACGTACGAGCAAGCCTATGTAAAACTTGAAGATTGCGGTAAAGGGAAAGGAATCAAGAATAGTAGTAACGAAAAGGTTCTCCTGGCATATTTTGAACATCTTTCAAAACATAGGAAGGCTTCATCACTTTGGGTATATTATTCCATGCTACGTTCAGTTATATCAGTGAAGAAAAATACAGATATTAGTAAGTACGTCCATTTAATTGCATTTCTAAAAAGAAAATCAGAAGGATTTCGGCCAAAAAATCGAGAATTTTAAGAAAAGAAGACATAACTCGTTTTTTGTTGGAAGCCGATGATAAAACTTATTTCCTGACAAAAGTTTCATTGATAGTGGGACTTGCGGAAGCCTGCCGGCGTATCGAGTTGACAAATCTGTAGCTGCAAAATGTTAAAGATGAAGGACAATGCATTATGTGTCATTATTCCATTTACGAAAACAAAGATATCACGAGATTTTTTTATAACAAAAGGGAATGTTGAAGGAATAAATATAGTGGAAATGGTTCGAAGATATATAGCTATGCGGCCAAGCAACACAGAGCATACTCGATTTTTTGTGGGGAACAGAGATGGAAAATGTATTAAGCAACCCGTTGGTATTAATACTTTAGGGAAAATAAATGCCGTATAAAATAGCATTGTTCCTACATTGTCCTACCTAAATACACTGGACATTGTTTCCGTAGATCGTCTGCGTCGTTGCTTGCAGATTCAGGAGTGGATTTATTAACTGTTAAAAGACATTAAACGGCGCTCTAACACAGTGGCAGAAAGCTATATAGAAAATTCCAAAGAAAATAAGAAAAAAGTGTCATGTAATATTTTGGGTAACATTTCTGGCAATGATGGGTCTTCAACAAGTTCAAGCACTCAGGAAATAAATTTACTTTCTAAAAATTCAACTCACCTGTCATCGTCTGGAATTAATTTAACCAATTGTACTGATTTTATAATTAATGTTTACAATAAATAAACGTATTTAGGTACTTTTAATAATGACATTGTCGTAGATTAATTATAATTATGTACCTTTAAAAAAAAATTGTTACGGTCCAAATAGTCCCAGTTATGTCCGCATTAGCAAAACTGGTGCGAAAAACTATGCTCGTTACCATAGTTTAACTCAACTAAAACGTTTTATTAGCTTGAAATAATGAATTATAATACAGGTTTACCTTCTGAAGGTATGAAAAAATTTACCTTTTTATTTTTTTTTTAGAATTTTCACAAATTACACTTAAGCTTCATTCAGGACCTCGCAATTAGTGGAATAAATTACTTCATGTAAACTTTATAGTTTTTAGTTTACGATCATTCACAATATTTAAAAAAAACAATTAAAATCAATAGAATTAATCCAGTAATATTACGATTTAAACCCGACAAAATTCAGAAAGTTTTGAAAATTGGTAGGTATGTTGGGTAGCATGAGGATTACTAAACCGAAAAGTTCCCACCCCTAAATAGTGTGCGTCATCCCCCAGGACATCGTTTCTACCCCCATTTTGAGTTTTTTAGATAATCTCGGCAACGGTGCATTTCTCGACAAAAATACCTATATAGAAAATTATTTTTCATAAAATTCTCTATCAAAAAGATATTTACACTTTTTTTCTAAAGTTAATAATAAAGTGGCAAATAGGGCGCAAATATAAGGGTTGGTTATGACTAACACTATCTGCAGTTCAATCTAAGGTTTAATGTTTAACGCTAACAAAAAGCAGTAACCACTAAATTATACTTAGAATTTTAATATACGTTCTTTTTTCACACTCCTCTACCCCTATAAAAGGGGTGATTTGTACTTATTTTCACATCACCCTAGAGGGAAAGTATTTAATGCGTTTTTTAAGTGGTATCCCCTGTAGGCCTAATCCAATAATCTTCGTCATCTTCCACAGGTTCAACATTCAAGCATGACTGTCCATGGCAATGATAACACATTATAGAGCAACGCAAGCCTGCTCTTCTGCAGCTACATCTGTATTCGCACCCTAATTTGCATGAACATGAAATAAGCGTTCAAACAGATGCGGGGGTTGACTCTTTGTTTGTCATTGTTGGGGTTAATATAACGTCAACTTTTTTCCACCCCCAGTCGGTAGGTTCGAGCATAACTCCTCTCCATGTTTGAATTTGGTGAAAAACCCGATACGAGTGTTGCCGAGCTGCAGCAGAAGTTGGTGGTTTTGACAACATGACAATGTTGTTGGCTATACCAACAAGTTTGTTGAAGTACATAAATCGGTATTCATCTAGACTGCTTTCTGCTGAGGTACAGTTGTATAAAGCTAAAATAAATTGCTCTCCTACGTTTGCAATTTCTTCATGAGTAGATTTCTCATAATTATTGGAAGTTTGCACAATATGTTGTAAATCACTTCTTTTAGCGAATATATTGATTGCATTAAAATTTCCTTTGAAAAAAAAGCCGAGGTTATGTCACAACCGCTAATGGCGTGTACAAATAAGATAGTGTTTTTGCAATTTTTTAAAAAAGTTGCGGATTGTAAATCTTGAGAACTCTAAATCCTTTTCCAAGTATTACCCTGTTTTTCAAAAATAGGGTCTAGTTCTGGAACTTTATTGACAATCTGGTATATTAGTTTTTGAAGCTGATTTCTTAAAGCTGCTTTATTAGTTTTCCTCATTAGGCCTTTCGCATCGAAAAGAAAAAGAGGTACTGAAGCTAATTCAAAACTAAAGCACTTTTTTAACTCCAGGCTAGAATGAACGGTGCAAATAATTATTTGAAATAGTAATGTTGAGTCAACTTGAACATCATTGCCATTAATTTTCATTGTATTGCTCAAACTAGATATCGGCTTTACACGGTTTGCACGACGAACTTTTAAACTTTTAAATAAAACCCCACCTTTAACATTTGATAATTAGTGGATTAGGCCTACAGGGGATACCACTTTAAAAAAAAACGCATCAAATACTTTATCTCTAGGGTGATGTCGAAATAAGTACAAATCACCCTTTTTATAGGGGTACAGAAGTGTGAGAGAAGAACGTATATATTAAAATTCTAAATATAATTTAGTGGTTAGTGCTTTTTGTTAGCGTTAAACATTAAACTTTAAATTAGATTGAACTGCAGATAGTGCTAGTCATAATCAACCCTTATATTTGCGCCCTATTTGCCACTTTTAAATTAACTTTAGCAAACATGTGTAAAGAGAATTTTATGAAGAACAATTTTGTATATAGGTTCGATGTCCTGGGGGATGACGCACACTATTTAGGGGTGGGAACTTTTCAGTTTATTAATACATATGATGTCCTGATTATTTCCACCAATTTTGAAAACTTTATGAATTTTGTCGGATACATCGCAATTTGAGCCATAAAATTACTGAACTAAATATCCTAGCAACAGTTGTATCTATGGAGAAAGCCTAAAATTTAGCTTATAAAACAATCAACTTTTGATTTCCAGCCACAATTTCTTATGAAGGAAGATAATCAAAGGCCAAAATGGACCTTTCTCGCAAATTTTGAAGTATAATTAGTGGAGAAGTTAAAAGTTTGATAACTTTTTCTACTAATTAAAAATGTCTACCACTAATTTTGACGTTCTGAATGAATGCTTACATTGAAATTAAAGTAACAAACTTCTATGCTGATTGAAACCACTAATTTATCCCACTAATTGCGAGGTTCTGAATGAAGCTTTACTAAATACTTTCCAAATAATATTATAACAAATTTTTCGTGTACTCAGCACGTGTATTTCAGCACAGTTGGAGAATATACCAAGCCTATACAAGTGAATAATCATAATATTAACAATGTTTTAATACAGTTATAAAAATCTTATTTATATGTAAAATTAGCTAAGTTCAAAAATGCGACAGTTATGTTTTAAGGCACATTAATAAATTCTTACAGGCCTGAACAACAAACAATTTCTATAAAACAAAAAATTCTCCAAAAAAAGGCCCATCCCTAGTACCAATCAGTCATTTTCAGATCCCAACAAGTCAGTTTTCAGTTCAGGATTATTTTCTTTCAATATTCCCAACTGATCGGGATGCTGTCTTTTTATATGTCTTATTTGATGTGTCCGTCTTTTGCATTTTTGCGGACAAAAAGGACAAGGGAACTGTGGTTCCTTGTCGCACTCATACGTCTGGTGTCTTTGCAAGGAATCCTTCCTAATGTAGTTCCTGTTGCATTTCGAACAAGTAAAGGAACCTCTGATGCGCGTAGACTGTCGTTTGTGAGGAGCTTTGTCCTCACTGCGCATCAAGTACAACGAAGTGAGTATGTCATTTTGGGATTTTTCTTCCAACTCGACTATAGGGAGGGGCAGGTGTATCGAATTCGATACTGTCTTGAAAAAAGGCAGGGAGTTGAGTCCTACAATATAATTTAGGTTAGTTTTTTTTTATCACAAAATTAAAAATATTGTAGTATTAGATTTAAATCAAAAAATAATCTACTTCAAAAAATTTACTTACTACAAATAAAATCTAATCATTGTTAAAGTATCACGATTCTAAAGTTATAAACCAAAATTAATATTAATCCAGTATTGAAATACGCATATGATCACTAAGGGGTACCCATATAACTACAGTTAATTTTTTTTCATACAGTTTTTTTAATTACGTATTTTCTGAAAATGGAATTCAAAAAATTACATTTTCATTAAGAAAAAAATAATTTATAATTTCTGATAATTATTCTTCTAACAAAAACGCCTAATAAAATTATAATTTTCAAAATATTTTTAAATTATTTTTATGGCTTATGACCAAATACGTCATATCCTATCTAATGCCACAGTTATTGGTATAAACCATATGTATTTTTTAAAATAGGACACCCCGTATATCATAAGTGTATTGCATAGAATTTTTTTTCTTATTTCAAAAATATCACATATGTTATTTGTGGTTATGTTTGAAATTCGAAACAAATGTGCTATACAGGTAATTTAAAACAATTATACATTATTTTAATAATTGTGACATTTGACAGCATATGACATTTCTGACATGATGTATAATCGAATTCTAAATCGAACTTTTCTATTTACTTTTACAAATGAGAGAGACATTTTTATTAATTTGTTGTCATGACATAAGGTATGTCATTTTATATATACAGGGTGGGTTTTAAATAAGTGAAAATATTTTGAGAGACGGTGTATTTCGACCTCAGAAACACGTCTATAAGGGTTTTTTTCGTAGAGTTTTTTAAATTTTGGATTTTTTTTTAGTTTTTAGTTAAAAAAACATATTTCTTGATAATATGGCAACATAGGGAGTAGATTAAATTTACAAGAAAGAAAACCCAGAACAGATCCAGTGGTTCTCAAAATTTAAGCAAAAAAATTCGGTTATTTTGGTCTTATTTGAAAAAGGATAAAGAGAAAATACGTTGCTTTTATCGAGATCTACCAGCCCTGAAAATATTTGCACTTTTTAAAGACTCATCCTGTACATACAGGGTGTTTCAAAAAACATGTGCCATCTCTCGTGGGGAGATTCCTCACGTAAAAATACGATTTACTATTCATATTAATATAGGTTCGATTCTGCTTTGTTTCGTTAAAAAGTTGTTCTTTAAAAAGTGTCGACATATTCACCAGGGACGTACATATGGGTAAACACCCATATATTGGATATACTAAATTCATTCCTCTTTTCGTTAACTGCATAATAAAAAATCAATTTACCAGCAGATATTGTGGCTATGTCAATGTTGTATAAACACCTTATAAAAAAATTAGTATATAAATAAACAAAATGTAATTTTATGTTCAGAAACTGGTTCATTTATAAACCAAAGTAAGTGGAGAAATAAAGCAACATTATTTTCTGGGATATTTTATATTATTGTAAAGTTAAAATTATAAAAAATTCTAAAATAATAAATATGTATACTATTTTTGTTCAGTTAGCAGATAAATATCACTTCAGCGCGAACAAATATACGAGTATATTAAGAGATTAAGTGTTATGTTTGTCCAAAAGAGTATCTACAATATTTTGATTAGACTTTAAAAAACTCTAAATTCGAGGACAGAATTTAAATGACTCTAAATTTTTGAATAGTTTAATCTAAATAAATAAAACAAAGTAGAGTTAAGGTAGTGTTAGACACAGCTATTTTTGTTGCGCAATTTTTTTGCAGCCGCTGCAAAAGTTGCATACAGTGTTCATACACTAGCAGAAAGTAGCCCACAACGCGTAGTTTTTATGCAGCAGCTGCCTAAAAAAGTTGCAGGTCGACACTACATGCTTTTCATATGTTCACACCAAAGGGCTACTTTTGCAACATATTTTGGTAACCGCAGCCTTTTGCAGGTTTCGTCTGCTCCGCAACCAGATTTGGAACTTTTAATTTTTGAACGTTCTTTCGAATATTGTGCACGCAACGTGTGGATTTCCTTTTTTATGTCTTCATCGAGCATATGTAATTCAGAATAAAATTCCGAAACAGCAGCTCGTCTTTTCGTTTGGTTGTGATAGAATGGACTTTTTACGTTCCATAAACAACTCCCTTGCTTCTACCGCTTCTATTAAACATTTTACTTGTTTTCTGTTCCAAATCGCTTGTTTTGACTTCGACGACATTGCAATTTGTCGGTTAATTCTTTACTAAATACCTATATATAAATCCTGGAGTTAACTGAAAAAAGTGTATACATTTCGGGCATACCAACAGAATACTGCACCAATGTCCGCAGAAAAAGTTTCAACTGATTAGTAATCTTTTGCTGCACTTGCAACCTTCCTCAACAACTGTTAACACACGGCTCTTTATTAAACAAAAAAGTTGTAGTACTTAGTTGCAGGTTGCCTAGGTATTCACACTTGCAGCAGATCAAGTTGCGCAGTTTTTTAACGTGCTGCGCAACAAAAGTAGCTATGTCTGATACTACCTTTACTTACACTATTTATAATTCAAGAACGGCTTGACCGATTCTGATGATCTCTGATGTGTTGGATACGTAAAATATACTAATAATAGTAAAAAATACTGGTAAAATATGAGAAAAATTCACGAAATTTTTTTTTAAATAAATTAGGTTTAGAATTCTTTTTGGATATCTTAAATAAAATTGTGACACTACATTAATGGTTATTAATTTGCATTAAAGGTAATTTTAATTGGAAAATCAAGTTTTTCTAACGGTGCATCCTCCACAATCTTTCAACTGACTCCTTGTAACTACCATGTCGTGCCTATAATTCAAATGCTGCTGAATGTGGTAACTGTATTTTGTTCTGAAATTGCACAAATTACAAAAATAGCTGGGTCCTTTACCGCAAGTGTACTGCGTATGATTATACAGTGAAGATCTGTGCTTAAAACTTTTATCGCAACTTTTACACGTGAAGATTTCACCGATTTTTTTTGGAGGTCCTAAAACATAAAAACAAACTTCAGAAATAAAAATATACAATTTTAAGTATAAGAGAAAATAAATTAGTAAAAAGTATTCTACTAGTATATATACTAACGTACTCAGAGTTTTTTTTTATTTATTATCATAAGAAGTATTCATTTTCATTTGATAAAGCATTAGTGTTATCATATGATCCAATACATGAATAGTATGAATACTAATTTATAGCGAATTTTTGCTGCATTGACAAAATTGCTGGAAATATGAACAATTATATTTTTTTTTTTGATCAAGATATAACTGATATGTGTATATTATTTTGAAAATATCTTTTATTTTAAAAACAAAGATAATATATAATAAAAAAAAGAAAGAAATCTCAGCATAGATAGTAATATCCGCAGACACGTGTTTCTGGCTTCATCAGCTCGTACTAATGAAGTATACTGACTTATGGCCTTCGCGTAGGGCGCCCAACGTAATAGAAAAATGAAATAAAAGATATTAGAGTATTATTTCACACATCTGTTACATTGGATGCCCCACGTTGGGCGCCAAATATAGTAGGAAAGTGAAATAAAAAAGATTCGAGTATCATTTCACACATCTATTATTTATCTATTATATTGGGCGCCCCACGTTAGGCACCAAATATAGGAGAGACGTGAAATAAAAGAGATTGGAGTATTATTTAACACATTTGTGACATTTGGTGCCCCACGTTGGGCACCAAATATACTAGAAAAGTGAAATAAAAGACATTGAAGTATTATTTTACACATCTATTGCATTTAGCTAGAGATATAGTTATTTATGTTTGGTGCTAAATATACTAGGGAAGTGAAATAAAAGAGATTGAAATATTATTTCACATATCAATCAATTAAAATAATAAAATTATAAATGCATGTGATGAAAAGTTGAGACCATTTTGCCAAATCGTTTCTTAAACACTTGGGCATTAGTTTGAAAAAGTTATTTATATTTTATATACTGTAGTTTAACGTCCAATAAATATTTGAAATACTACAACTAAAATAGTTTTAAACAAATGATGCTTAACTCAATTTGTATTAATTATGACTGAGTGTATAAATCAGTTCTTCACAATGGTGCACCCTACGCAATCCTTCAAGTCCTTCCTTCGAACTGTCACGTCGTGTCTGACATAGAGATGCTGCTGGACGTGATAAACGTACTTAGTACGGAAATCGCACATATTACAGAAGTAACTAGGCCCTTTACCGCAAGTGTACTGCGTATGGTTGTAGTGTGAGGATCTGTGTTTAAAAGTCTTGTCGCAACTTTTGCACGTAAAGACTTCCCCTTTTTTTGCTGATCCTAAAAAATAAAAACAAAATTCAGATAATAAAACAATATATATAGCCAAGACAACTCAGTGATTAAAAAATACTGATTCCTTTTTGTGAAATTTTATTTTCAATTAATATGAACACATCGAATAACTAAAATAATTTTACATAAATTTCAAAATAATATAAATTCAAAAAAAAAATTATATTAAACCAATAATTATATCCAATCCATTCTATAATTCTATACTAAAGAAGATCTCTTCACCAAGATGCTTATTAAATTTTAGAAATCTCCGAGAGTCTAATACTCGACACAATTTTTAAATGTGTTCAAAAATATTGGCAGCATAACTGAAAACAGTAATTTTCAGGTTTCGAGCAATGCTTCTCCTTGTAGTAATTAAATATAGGGTGGTAAAAAAAGTAAAACTTGTAACTTGAAATATGAGATCTAAATTTTACAGTAAATATCTTCTTTGGATAAGGTTTTCCCTCAGACAAATAAGACAGGTACACATTACCTGTACAAAACTCAGCCACCAAATATATCGAAACCAGATATAAACAGAAAAATGTCACATTACTACGATGATTATAGAATTTCATTAAATTATAAAGCTTGTATTGCCATTTTTTTTTATTTAAAATTTTTTAGATATTTAATTTTCTGATAATTTGATTTCTCTGTATCAATAATTCATAATAACATAATTCAGATTAGAAATTCTGAATTATCCTAGAGAATCCGAAATTATCCGCCTAGAGAAATGAAGCATTAAAATTATTACTGTATTTTGAAAAAACTTAAATCTTTCAAAAACGGTAAGATTAAAATGCGGTAAACCTTAATCAAATTTACCTTTATTTTAATCGTAGATACTAAAAATACAATAATATACAAAGTGTTCCATTTAAAAAAATACAGCTTTGATATTTTTTATTTATTTGGGACACTCTGTATCTTGTAAAAATACTTTTAAATTGTAGCTCTAATAGTCCTTCAACGAACCCAAAACTTACAATTTGTAAAAATCTAATCGTTAAGCTACAATACTCCGTGTCGTATGTGGTGAACAATTTGTATAGAAAATACTTGAATAAAAATGTAAATAAAAATATAAAGAACAAATAAGACAACAACTGTCAAATAGATTGGTCTCAGTCATTCCAGATCATTTGGTCATTCAGTCATCCGTACCACAAGTTTGACAAAAAAAAACTCAGGCAGTACTAAGTTAGCCGGGCCAGCATATACTTGTATTTATAAAGGATTTAAAATTTAGTGAGCTCTAGAGACATTTCTTAAAAAAAACATCTTAAATTACTTATATCTTTTTAAAGGTGGCCAATATTCTTGAGCACACTGTACAAGAAAAAATACTGTTAGTTTACTAAATGCCACGTCTTCTCCAAACAATTAATTCTCTACCTATAATACACCGTTCAACAAACTAGAAATAACATTAATATCACAATGGACTTTGTGACGTTGAAGCCACTAATTTGAGATGGAATCCAGTGAGATGAAATCCTAAAAACATCGACTCTGTGAACTTGTAGCCACAATCATCGTAAGGGCAGTAGAAAGTAGGAGGGTTGCCGCAACCCTTCATCCTGTGCAGTTTTTTGTACCGGAAATTTTTGAACTTTTTGCCACAGTCGCACCTCACACCTAAAAACAAAAATAAATTATTGGTATTATATATTTAAAAATTACAATATATTATGTAGTTTCAAGACCTTCACAATAACAGAAAATAATTATTAAATATATAAACAAATATTCTTAGCTACGCCAAAAGAATTTAGAAAATACAGAGTAGAAGTTAACAGTGAAATGATATAAAACATAATATCTAAAGGAAAAAATGATACATAAGAACAAGAAGAAGGAATTAATTTAGATATAATAGATACATGTTAAAAATATTATGATGAAAAAAAATATATCTTGAAAATGGCGTGGATTTTTCGACACTGAAACACAAATCTAACAAATAAGTTATTTTCTTTAAATGACACTGAATACAATCCAAACAAAAACCAGGTTGTCAATAGGGACGGGATATTTTTCTGACATATCGATAACTACCTATAGTTATTGATAACTATTTCCCTTTTTAAAATCGTCAATCTAAGTTGAACATTTAAACATTATTAGATATACAGGGTGGTCCGAACTGTATTCCGGAAACTTCTGCAGATAAAAATAAGTAAAAAAGTTTGTATAAATGTATATCCTAAAATGCTTAGTTTTTGGAAAAGGTCTCTTGGTAAAAATCGCTATGAGTAATGGTTTCCGAGATATTTGGAATCGAAATTATCAATAACTGTCATCATTGACATAAATTAAACCTGTTGACACTAAATAGTTATTAGACTGAAATCAGTTCAGAAATTCGACAAAAACTGTTTTATCATCATTTTTTCGCAGAAAAATTTGTGATTAATTAAAAAAAATAGATTTCCCAAATTTATTATTTCAGGTCAAATAACTATCTACTCAACGCGTGTTCATTTTTTGTCAATAATGACATGTATTAACTATTTCCATTCTAAATATCTTGAGAACGGTTGCTTGTAGCGATTTTTACCAAAATACATTTTTTACTCAAAATGTCACGAAAATGTATATTTTTTCACTCAGTAGTTTTATACAGGTACAGACGAAAAGTTTTTACTCTTCAAAACAGTTAAAACACATGTAGGTGGCGCCCTCCACAAATAGGAGCCATATTAACATCAAAGTCAAATTTCTCATCTCAAAAAACTCTCAAACACCAATTCTTATCCAAATATTGAGGGTACTCAGAAATTATTTGGAAAAAATCAAAATAAAAATTAAACTTCTACACCCTGTGTCTCTGAAACTAAGCATTTTAGCACATACATTTATATGAACTTTTTTACATATTTTTATCTGCAGAATATGCTGCCAAAGTTTCCGGAATACAGTTCGGACCTCCCTGTATAAAATATGGTGCAATTAGGTAGAGCTTAAAGACTATCTCTAAAAAAAGAAAAATAACAAATGACAATCGTATGCCAAAGTATTATGCACATTTAGATTGTAATTTATGCTTTACTAAAACTATGATTGTAGTACGAGATTGTATACATAGAATACTTAAGATAAGCTTAAGATGCCTTATTTCGATATATCGATATGTAGCGATAATTATCAATATATTTTTTTCGCAAACACCTCTATTAAAACTGTTAATATTCTGATCACGTAGCATTAAAAAAGTATGTATTCTGGTAGAATCAGGGTATATAATATACTTAAAATGAGTTTTAGTTTTGGCGGCACCAAAATCATTGTAGACCTGTGTAATTATTACATTAATATTTAATATTAATTAATATAAAATAATCATTTTATATAATAAAATTAAATACTACAAAAAATGTATAAATCAGCAGTCTTTATTTTAAACTGCTGATTTTTTAATAAACCAAATAATTTTAATGAAGTCATGCCGTTGCTGTGTATTAAAAATTCCAAAATGTGAATATACAGGGTGAGTTTCCTACGATGTTCTCTATGTGTATCTCGGAATCTACTGGAGATAGAGAGTCGGTTAAATGGGGACAGAATTGCATTTTTGTGTGGTCATAAATATGCGCCTTTCAGATTTTTAAAAAAGTTCATGACTTACTAGATATTTCGAAAAAAACAAATTTCGGCTATTTTAAAAATTGTCCCTAATTCCATTATAAGCTATTTTAGACAAAAAGTTTTCAGATAAAAGTTGTAGATAATCACAGCCTTAATGAGAATGTGTCCTCCGCTTTTTTCTAAAGCTTGTCATTTTTGACATATGATAGAAACATATGTTTTTTTGTAAATAGAAACCATAGCTGGCCATGATTTCATAAAAAGCGCCATTTTTTAAGCTTTTTAGCGATATAAGCTATAATATGTTTTCTTCAAAAAATTACTGAGTTATAGTCAATTCCTATTATTTTTAAACAATTTCACTTAGTTAGCCATGGAAACAAGTTCAATCGCCGTTGCTCTCAGAAATGTGAAGCTGTCACATCCAAACTTTGTAAATTAAACTAAACAAAAATTGTAAATACGAATTTTTCAAATGAAGAAAAGCGTGTAGATACGCGCATCATTAGAGTGTTTCCGACATGACTTGCATTATGACCCCCCCCCCATAATGAAAGGAATGATTATTAATAAATTATTTATATCATAATTATGCAAACTCAGGGATAGGAAGAGGTGGACTAATTGCATGGGCCTCCTCGATCACCTGACCTAGCCATTTTATATTTTTTTATGCGGTATGGTTAACAATAAGGTTTACAAAAAAACTTATGAATTAAGAGGCACTCGAAATAGCGGTACGAGAGAAGTTTAATTAAGTCGACCGGTCCTTCTATGAGAATAGGTAGTAATTCAGTTTTAAAAAGATGCAACTCAAAACAATGGAGGATTTTTTAAACATTTTCTAAAATATCTTAAAGTGTATGCAGTGATATTATTTTTTTAAGTTTTAGTTTATGTAATGTAAATTCTAAAGAACCGTTTAGTAATATATTCTGACTTTTTATAAGTTGTAAATCATAACAGAATAAGAATACTATGCAATCTAAGTGAAATTAGTCAAGAAAGATATGAATTGGCTATAACTAAATTTAACTTTTCTAACAAGTCTTGAAAACCGTTCTCTAAAAATCGTAACATTCCCTGGTCAACGTATCCTCGAAAATGTATGGTCAAGAAAAGTTGAACCAATAATCTTATACGCTTTTCTTCGTTTGAAAAATTCATATTTACAATTTTTTTTTATTTTAATTTACAAAGTTTGATGTGACAGCTTAACGTTTATGAGAGCAAAGTCAAAGACGATTAAACTTGTTTCCATGGCTAACTAAGTGAAATTATTTAAAAATGATAAAAATTAGCTATATCTCGATAATGTTTCGAAGAAAACATATTATAGCTTATATCACTGAAAAGCTTAAAAAATGGCACTTTTTATGAAGTCATGGCCAACTATGGTTTCCATTTAAAAAAACATATGTTTGTGTCATATGTCAAAAATCACAGGCTTTAGAAAAAAAAGCAGGATACAGTCTCATTAAAGATGTGATTATCTACAACTTTTATCTGATAACTTTTTGTCTAAAATAGCTTATAATGGAATTAGGGACAATTTTTAAAATAGCCAAAATTAGTTTTTTTTTCGAAATATCTAGTAAGCCATGCACTTTTTCAAAAATCTGAAAGGCGCATATTTATGACCCCACAAAACTGCAATTCTTTCCTCATTTAACCGACTCTCTATCTCCAGTAGTTTCCGAGATACCCATAGAGAACATCGTAAGAAACTCACCCTGTATTGGATGTAGAGGGTTGGGATATTAAAAAATAAATTATTCAAGTGATATAAATTTATTCATTTCTTCTATTCGAATAACACAAAATATAATAAATATTTAAATTTTAAGTCAATCATAAATCCTTTAATTTCTTCTTCCAAGTTTCTTACTTCTATGAAGCATCCGCGCGAAAATCACACAAATCAACAAACAACACACCTATATACTTTGGTATGTTTGATTAATATCCCCTTCTGTTATTACACTTTAATGTTTCAATCTAAATTATATTTTTTCCAAAAGCCCATTTTTTATTATCTAATTTTAATTTATTGTCGTTTGAGACGATCCGTCCAAGAATGCATGCACATGCCTAATATGTTTAACGAGATCAAATCGATGCTTTGATTTGATTGTGCAATAAGGACACTGAAAGGTAGGGTCTTTTCCGCACTCGTAGTTCTTGTGTCTGGTTAGTGTTTTAAAGTTCCTGTAACCCTTACCACACTCGCAGTAGTGCTTAAGACAATCTAAAAACAAATTTTAATAATAGGTGATCTGTATAAAGAAATGTTTATAGCACGGTAGATGTCCACTCTTCGGAGGAAGAACATCTGTAGTCAGAGGAGGATGGGAAATACTTTGCCCTACAAAACCCCCATGTATGATGCGTTATACAGGGTGGTCCGAATAATTGTATTCCGGAAACTTCGGTAGCATATTTTGTAGATAAAAATAAATAAAAAACTTCGTATAAATGTATGTTCTAAAATACTTAGTTTTGGAGATACAGGGTGTAGAAGTTTCATATTTATTTCGATTTTTTCCAATTAATTTATAAAGTAACGTAAATATTCGGATGAAAATTGGTGTCTGGGAGTTTTTTGACATGAGAAATTTGATTTTGATGTCAATATGACTCCTTGTAGAGGGCGTCACCTACATATTTTTTAACTTGTTTGTAGAGTAATAACTTTTAGTCCGTACCTGCATAAAACTACTGAGTAAAAAAATATACATTTATGACATTTTTTACGTAAAAAAGGTCTCTTGGGAAAAATCGCTACGAGTAATGGTTCTAAAAAGTTTTGTCACATTTAGGGAACAGTTACGTATTTACGTTTTATTGTTCATATCAGGCCAAAGATGGGCCTGGCAACCAGGGTTCGTAAGTAGTTAATTAAGATGTAATTTACCTGATTAACTACGTGTAGTTTTTCTTCAAAAACTACGTCTTGTCCCGTTCATTAACTACATGAAAACTACGTTAATAAACTATGTATTGATATTAGGAATAATTTTCCTTTGTATGAGGTGTAATAGAGATAATATGATGTAAATATTATATTTAAAGCTATATTTCTTCTGTTTTCTTAAAAACTTTATGTGTTTTTAAAGCTTCAACTTATTATAACCTCACCTCAAACCTTTGATATTTGAAAGTTACATACATAGGTTACATAAACTACACCCTCTACATAAACTACATTAACAACATGTAATGTAGTTTATGTAGTTTTTAAAAGTAACATGTAGTTTTCCGAACCCTGCTGGCAACGTAACAACGACGTCACCTAGAACATATTTCCCTTAAAGAAATATAATGATCACCGGGTGTAAAAGTTGATTTAGAGACGTACTTTGGTTGTAACGTAAATATCTATTAATTAAATAAAAGTATTCAACACATACATATCCATTTATTGGCTAACTTTTAGTTTACATTGTGCAGTTAACAGTAAATAACAATAATTACAACTTACTTAACCAACTTAACAATATTACACTTAACCAACAATAATAAAATAAAGAAGCATAACAAGTAAATTCCAAACAACTTGATAAAATAATTAATACAAATTATCTAGCTTTTAAGCATAACTGTAAAACTTATCTGATTCTAATAATAATTAGAAAATAGTCATTTATGCAACTACTTGGGAAAAGCAGTATTTTGTGTGAGAATGGACATGCTGTTACATAAAATATATGTTTTCCAAAAAAATTGTGTTTGCACTATGGCACTATGTGCGCATAATTGTGAAAATTCTTATTAAGAAGTGAAACTTCTTACTAAAAGCTATTAAATTGAAGAACTTGAAATTCAAGTAGTTTGAAATGTTAAAAAAGTAATAAATTAAAAAATATATTTTATTAAGCGTAAGAAATAGTCTTTTACGTGTAACAAATAGTTTTTTACACGCAAAAATAGTGTTTACTTGTAACAAATAGTTTTTTACATGTAACAAATATGTTTTTGCGTGTAACAAATAATTTTATACGCGTAAAATAAAAATTTAATAAATAATTTGATTCACATTCACAAAATTTGTATTAAAATGTCAAAAAATTTTTGATAAACACGTGGACTGTTCACAAATACACGTGGCTTCACTGCGTATTTTTAAGCCCTTACCACGTGTCGTTACTAAACTAGCTCGTGTATCACGACCTTGAATTTTTACTCCCATCGCGCTTAAAGAAGTTTCAAAATATATTTTTTATTAATCAATAACAAATAGCTTAAAGATCAATTAGATTGATTATAAGTAATAGAGTAAGATCCCAGAGCGATCAGAGATAACTTATTTTCACAAGGATGAAACCTTAGGCTCTCAGTAGTGCTCTCATGTGCTTTGAATACCGGCGTGTTTGTGTTGTTCACCCTGTGACACCTTGGCAGACACCAGGTGAGAAAGGTAACCACAAGAAATAAATAAACGTTACTTATTTTTACATGTCTGATTTTTAGATATGTTATTAAGACATCTATTCAGGGCCGAGCCGCTCATGTGTGCGAAGTGTGCGGCGCTCGCAGGCGCCAAAGCAATAGGGGCGCCCTTCCACTAGGAGATGCAAGACCTTGTCGTTGGTGGGGAAGCTTGGCTTGGTCTAAGAAGCATCTCACTCATCGTCTTGTCCCTAACTGTAGTGTCGTGGCCAGGGAATTGCACCAATACATATAACGATACCGGGCGGGGCTACGGACAGCCTCAACCTTGGGGCACCGGGGGGCACCCTACTGTATTTTACCCCTTACTTCTACATGCGGGGCTCTGTAGAAGTGGACCGACTGTCCCTAGCGACTCATAGGAACACTATGAGGTCTGGTAATAATAGTAATAAAAACATCACCGGTGAAGCTGTGGGGAAATCCCCTAGCGACACTGGGAACAGTAACAATGAAAGTTCCAAGGGGCCAAACCCAAAGAGAACTACAGGAGAGGTGGCTGACACTTGCGTGAGACCATCCTCCGCAAGTGGCATACAAGCTACCACCTCCTCCAAGGGTCGGGAGCCTACCTTCTACCTCTAAACCCAACAGGCGATATAAGCTACCGTTTCGTCTACCCGGCCTGGGTCGTAGCTCCTCGACTGTGAGGGACACGGGTCTCCGTAGGAAGTCCTGGGACTGTATGATGAGTTATAACTCAAGAAAGGGGGACACAATAGATCTCTAAGGTCGCAGAGATTAACCCCCCTCCCACTTATTCTAAATTCTAATTCTAATAGGGGCGCCGCGCCACATGAAATGCCAACGCCATTTATTCCAAAATTAACTACTAAAATCCAAAACAAAATAATTAATTTACTCAGTAAACTCAGTAATTCAAAATTTTATTTCGAACATATTTCGAATTGATAAATATTTTTCAAATTTACCTAGAGCCAATTTGCAACATCATAAGATTTGTCAATTTTAACACAGAAACTAAAAAGTTTAAAATAGGCATTTTCTAGCCTCCTGTACGATTATAATCGTAGAAAAACTAGACAAAATTAATGTGGGCCCAAACAATTTAAGGGGACAAAGACGTTTCGATAATGGACGGTAAAATATGCTCGGTAAGGACAATGGCCTTCAAAAAAATTTTACTGGATCTAAATCTCGCGCTTTCCGTGTGCTAGCAGTAAAAGACGCTGCCGACCTTAATTATTACATGGCTGGATTTTTAGCATTGTGCAATAATTATATAAATTAATATTTTTTGTCCTCTACCAAAAGATGGTATTTATTAAAAAAATATATATTCTAAATCTAACCTTAAAACCATTATTCGAAAACAAATGGTCAAGCCAAATAAAAATAAAACAAAAATTGATATACACATTTATCCCAAATTTATGTTTAATAGGTATGAGATATGAAATGGTACCTACATCATTCGATCAGAAGGAAAAATATGACGCTAAATGTTTATTATAGTTGGGGGTTAGAGCCTTTGGTGTTACAACAGCAAAATGAAACACTACATAATACAACACTTTACTTTTGCACTGGACACGTCAGTTTTAATCATCTGCTGATGATGCTAACATGGTTAGCGAAACGCTCGTCCAGTGCAAATGTAAAATGTTGTATTTATTGTGGTAAATTAGTCTTTTATTTTGCTACTAAATTTTGTCTAGCAGAAAAAATATGTACTTCTTCATTTATTTGTTCACTAAATGTAGGCATGGCATATAGGATTGGCAAAAGTAAATTTTGTGAAAAAAGTTTTTGACAGAAATTAGAACCGACAAAAATTTTGACAAATTTTGTAAATGATGCCATGAAAATTGCCGAAAAATCAGATTTCGAAGTTGAATTTTAAACTTCCTGAACCAAACCCCGAAAAGGTCGTAAAACTCCAACAAGTGTTGATTATATGAACACGATGGCAATACTATAAATGGTAGTAATTGACAAGCGGAAGAAAAATAAATATTAATTTACTTTAATAAATATTAATTATTACTTTTATATAGAAGCTCATCTTATTTACATAGAGATGCAAAAATATTAAATCGAAAGCAGTAAGTATTTTTAAAATATTTAAATACTTTACTCGGAAGCGCATATCATAGTCACGGCTAAATAATTTTTGTGTTTAGAGGATGTTTGGTCATTACAATCTGTCTGACTGATTAAATATAACTTTATAATAGCTATCTTAATAACATATGTAAAAATCAGACATGTGAAAATAAGTAAAGTTCATTAATTTCTTTTAGTTACCTTTCGCACCTGGTAAAGGTGTCACAGGGCGAACCCCACAAACACGCCGGTATTCAAAGCACACGAGAGCACTATTGAGAGCCTAAGGTTTCATCCTTGTGAAAATAAGTTATGTCTGATCGCTCTGGGATCTTGGATTATAATATTTTTTGTTCAACAAGAATAAATCTTATTTCCGCTTTCGTGCACGATGCTCATAGGATCAGCTATATGATGGACCGTCCTCATATGATTAAGGATATGAAAGCGATGTTTGGCCTTGGTGCTGCAATAAGGGCATTGGAAACTGGGCTTCTTGCCACATTCGTAGTTCTTGTGTCTTAATAACGTGAACGAACTTCTGTACCTTTTACCACAGTCGCATACAAATTTTCGACTTTTATCTAAAAAATTAAAATAAAAATCAAATATAATTCTAACATTTATTTTTATAAAAGCTATGTCTATGTATTAAGAGAAGGTAAGCTGGACAAAGATATTTACATCAGACTTTAAATAGATTATATATAACTTTGAGATGATAATACAGAATTAAACTTAAATATTCTTTAATTAGATAAAATATAATATTTTCAAATCTACAGGGTGAGTTTCCTACGATGTTCTCTATGGGTATCTCGGAAACTACACTGGAGATAGAGAATCGGTTAAATGGGGAAAGAATTGCAGTTTTGTGGGGTCATAAATATGCGCCTTTCAGATTTTTGAAAAAGTCCATGGCTTACTAGATATTTCGAAAAAAAACAAATTTTGACTATTTTAAAAATTGTCCCTAATCCCATTATAAGCTATTTTAGACAAAAAGTTTTCAGATAAAAGTTGTAGATAATCACATCCTTAATGAGATTGTGTTCTCTGTTTTTTTTTTCTAAAGCCTGTCATTTTTGACATGACACAAACATGTGTTTTTTTAAATGGAAACTATAGTTGGCCGTGACTTCATAAAAAGCGCCATTTTTTAAGCTTTTCAGCGATATAAGCTATAATATGTTTTTTTCGAAAAATTACGGAGTTATAGCCAATTCTTATAATTTTTAAACAATTTCACTTAGTTAGCCATGGAAACAAGTTCAATTGGCGTTGCTCTCAGAAATGTGAAGCTGTCACATCCAAACTTCGTGAATTAAAATAAACAAAAATTGTCATATTTTTCAAATGAAGAAAAGCGTGTTGATACTAGCGCATCAATAGAGTGGTTCCAACACGACTTTCATTATTACCCCCCCCCCCATAATGAAAGAAATGTTAAAAATTATTTATATCAGAATTATGCAAACTCAGGGATAGGAAGAGGTGGACCAACTGCATGGGCCTCCTCCGATCACCTGACCTATCCATTTTATATTTTTTTATGCGGTATGGTTAACAATAAGGTTTACAATAAACCTTATGAATTAAGAGAGGCACTCAGAGTGGCGGTACGAGAGAACTTTAATTAAGTCAACCTTTCCTTCTGTGAGAATAGGTAGTAATTCAGTTTTAAAAAGATGCAACTCAAAACAATGACGGTTTTATTGAACATTTTCTAAAATAACTTAAAGTGTATGTAGTGATATTATTTTTTTAAGTTTTAGTTTGAGTCGTGTAAATTGTAAAAAACCGTTTAATAATATTATTATATTCTGACTTTTTATAAGTTATAACTCATAACAGAATAAGAATACCATGCGATCTAAGTGAAATTAGTCAAGAAAGATAAGAATTGGCTGTAACTAAATGTAACTTCTCTAAAGCCGGGTCCACATATGTAGCACTCTATTGTATCAGGATCATGTATCACGTATCAAGAGTATGGGTCGTAAGTATGGACGTTTATTTGGGCTGTGTCGACTGAATATGCATATCGTGCCAAAGTAAGCGTCCATATCCGTATCAGCTTACAAGCGTGCGTATCAGTGTATGTGGACGGTACAACAAATCACCTTGTATCGTCGTATCATGTTCATCAATTCTCATTTATATTATCAGGACGGAACCCTCGATGCCCCTTTGATGATCGAAGAAAAACCGCCCCAAGACGGGTCACGGCGTATCAAGTCAATTGTATCGTTCTACTGTATCAAAACACGTCCAAATGACAGATCGTGATACGTGTATCCGATACGCAGTGTTAAGATACGCGCAAAAATTCGGATTGGCATCGATCAGATACGGTATCACAAAGGTGTACCATATGATCGCGTTAATTCTGCGTCCAAACTAGCGATCATCATACATGTTGGGGCAACGCGACGGAGATATGATACAGCAATTTGCTACATATGTGGATCCGGCCTAACATGTCTTGAAAACCGTTCTTAAAAAACATTCACCGGTCAACGTATCCTCGAAAATGTGTGGCCAAGAAAAGTTGAACCAACTATCCTACACGCTTTTCTTCATTTGAAAAATTCATATTTACAATTTTTGTTTATTTTAATTTACAAAGTTTGGATGTGACAGCTTCACATTTCTGAGAGCAAAAACGATTAA